AAGGTCCTTTCTAACCCAAACCATTCTACATTCTATGATTCTATGTGCCTGGAAATGGTTTCCATCACTTTTCCAGGTATCAAGGTGAGACTGACCAGCCTGTAGTTCCCTGGGTCCTCCTTGTTGCCCTTTTTTAAGATAGGAGTGACATTTGCTTTCCTCCAGTCTTTGGGCACTTCTCCCAATCACCAGGATCAATCAAAGATTATCAAGAGTAGCCTTGCAATGACATCTTCCAACTGCCTCAGCACTAATGGGCGCATCCCATCAGGGACCTAGACCTAGATAAAAAGTTGCTGAGGGGTTTCCTAGTAAAAAAAAAAAAAAATGTCATTGCCTAGCAAGATATGAAACCTATAAATCTGAGATCTTTGATCACAGCTTTGAATTATCTGTGAGCAAACATTCAAATGCTTGTGTTGGAGACTCACAGCAAAGAAAGATTGCTACAGATGGCAGAGTGGTCTGCTTGATAAAGCACAGGTTGCTTCTTGCAGAGGAAGAACCATTCAGGTAGAGTAAGGAATAGTGAAATGTTTTCAGTACGGAATAGTGAAATGTTTTCAGTAAGGAAAATAAGTGATTTGTTTTGGTTTTTCTTTTTCTGAACAGTTTCACAGAGACAAAGAAAAAAAATTCTTATGCCTGCTGCAGCTGTACTCAACCAAAAAGGATATTTCTTTTCATAACACATGTTTATCCCCCAAGTGTGAAAAAATCACACTGCTTTGATATTTCTGAAGAAAGTGTTTGCTTTGTCAGAAATGGTGTTTCAGAGAAGAGTGAAATGTCCCTTGTAGGTCACTCAGATGAAGGTTAATGAGAGGGTAGTAAAGCACAGAGCAGAGGACCCATTTTCCTGTGGTCATTATTTTTTGACATGTTAACAGGCAAAAGGTGAAGTTATGTCAAGTTAGAACTTTGAAAACTCTACTGTTTCACTGTGCTCCATTATAACTTTGCATATATTGAATTGTAGTGGTTTTAGCGTCCGTATTAGAGCTTGAAGAGGCTTATAGTAAATATGCAAGGAAGAAGAGCAAGTCTTTTTGCATTGCTCAGAGTAGTGGGGCATTACTACAACTGATCATATCTTACAGGACAATTTACCTGTGATTTATGGAATAAAAGTTGTCTCTGTATAAAAGATGCCTCCTGAATTTCTGTATATTACACACAAAAAAGTGACCTAATGGTAGACACATCTAATACAAGGATACTGAGACAATTCTGTACTTGCTAGGAACAAAGTGTATTTTAAAATTCCTCCCCATCATTTTCTTCTTCAAATGAGTCAGTTCCAACTTCTTCATAGTCCTTCTCCAGGGCAGCCAGGTCTTCTCGGGCCTCTGCAAACTCTCCCTCCTCCATGCCTTCACCCACATACCAGTGCACAAAAGCTCTCTTGGCGTACATCAGGTCAAACTTGTGGTCAAGCCGCGCCCAAGCCTCTGCAATGGCCGTGGTGTTACTCAGCATGCATACTGCTCGCTGAACTTGAGCTAGGTCTCCCCCAGGAACTACTGTAGGAGGCTGATAGTTGATCCCAACCTGGAAACAGGAATATGAGAGAAGGTTGTAAAAAGGCAAGAGCAGAAACCAGTCAAAGAGCTGAAGAATGTGAGTAAAGTTACAGATGCTAGGGTAGAGTGGTGCCATTATCAAAACTACCAGATGGCAAATGCCATAACAATAATAACATCTTAAACAGTATGATACATGGTCATTTTAATGTCTGTAGTATTCTTCTGTTTAATGTACACTGACAACTTCATCACTTTCTTAACAGCTGCTCAACACTGAACATACAGTTTCACCAAGAGACTCTATAGAAACTAATATGGAAAGTTGGTTCCCAGTTAAAAGCTTTCATTCTTAAAGCAGCTATTGGTATGACAAATGTTTTTCCACTGCTAATGTCTGTATTATTGTTGAAATTATGTTTCCCAACACTGCTATGTAGCCAGTGGGGAGAGGTTGCATAATATTTCTGGGTGAGGGAATATCTGAGGACAGATTTCCTAATTTCAGCATTTTATTTATTAATTGTATCCTTTTGGTATTTCCTTACTTTTAGATGTTGCTTCAGAGGAAACACACACTGGCTTTTCCAGAATTCAGGTCTGAAATGAATATGTCTTTACATTTTAAGTCATATACACTTCAGATTTCCACGTACATAAATATTTAGTAGTCTGTGTCAATGGGATGTCCAAAGGAGAAAAGGAATATATTATACAAATGCATCTTTCATATGTTCCTTATTTTCACAAGTGGAAAACATACAAGATCTAAAACTTTAAATACAAGTTCTCTGCTACGACTTAACTTGCCCTTTAAACATTAAAGAGAAGCTCATGGCAGCTGTACTCACCTTGAAACCTGTTGGACACCAGTCAACAAACTGGACACTTCTCTTGGTCTTGATGGCAGCAATTGCTACGTTGACTTCTTTGGGAACTACGTCACCACGATAGAGCATGCAGCAGGCCATGTACTTCCCATGTCTTGGGTCACACTTCACCATCTGGTTGTTGGGCTCAAAGCAGGAGCTGGTGATTTCAGCCACTGAGAGCTGCTCGTGATATGCCCTGTCAGGGGAGAGGATGGGGGCGTAGGTCACCAAGGGAAAGTGGATGCGTGGGTAAGGCACCAGGTTTGTCTGGAACTCCGTGAGATCCACATTGAGGGCACCATCAAAGCGCAGCGAGGCGGTGATGGAGGAGACGATCTGGCTAATGAGGCGGTTGAGGTTAGTGTAAGTGGGGCGCTCGATGCCTAGATTTCGTTGGCAGATGTCATAGATGGCCTCATTATCCACCATGAAGGCACAGTCTGAATGCTCAAGGGTGGTGTGTGTGGTCAGGATAGAATTGTAGGGCTCGACCACAGCAGTGGACACCTGAGGGGCTGGGTAGATGGCAAACTCCAGTTTGGACTTCTTTCCATAATCCACAGAGAGGCGTTCCATCAGTAAGGAGGTAAAGCCAGAGCCGGTACCCCCACCAAAGCTGTGGAAGATGAGGAATCCTTGCAGCCCAGAACAGGCATCAGCCTAAAAGCCAACAGGAAAAGTGAAAGAATAAGGGCTGAAGAAGAATGGAAAATACTTGAGTTACTATGTGAGCTTATTCTGAGCTGAAGGAGAGAGCAGTCATCAGGAATATACAGCATAGATTGCATGTCAGGTTTTCTTGAGAAAGGGCTGAGGATAGCCATGTCCTTTGCTTTCCTCACTGGTTCAACTTAGGACATGGAGATCAGACTCTTATCTTTGGAGCTTCTCTCTCTGAACTTCACACTTCTTTTAGTTAGTCTAGCTGAAACCAGCAATGTAGAACTGCCTAATCCATCCTTCTGTATCAGTATTGGTGCTCCAGGGCTGTGCTAATAATGAAGAATTACATAGTCAGAAACACTTTTTAAGAATATCTGGAGGCATACAGCTGGAAAATGGACTACTGGGTTTCTCTCTCTTGGGCTAGTAATGATGCCTCTGTATGATGTCTTGCAATCTCTTTTCTGAACCATTGGTATCATTTGTAGTTAACAAGGTACCTGTTCTGCACTTCATTCTTCTGCAGAGTCCAAAACTGCTCTTTTGAAACTACTGGGACTTACCAGCTTACGGACACAATCAAGCACCATATCAATGTGTTCTTTGCCAATGGTGTAGTGGCCGCGGGCATAGTTATTAGCTGCATCTTCCTTTCCAGTGATCAGCTGTTCTGGATGAAAAAGTTCCTTGAAGGTGCCAGTCCGCACTTCATCTGAACAAGAAAGAGAAATTGTAAGAAGCTGCGTGACTATGCTCCAGTGCCAACAAGTTCTGGTTGCTGTTGGCGTTGATGCAAGCTTTCAGTCACTGGAGGTCATGACCGCAAAAACCAGATGCTGAAGGAGAAGGGAAAACTGTTTCCTAAGCATTTTCAGATTGTTGCATTCTGTGGATTTATGGCATGACTTGTATCCAGCCACAGTTGTTACCTTCTCAAGACCTTGTCAGTTGTACAGCCTGTACTGCCAAGAGGACAAGTCACCAGAAAAAAAAGTGTGAAGAAAATCAGGTTCCCCCAGGTTCCCCAGTTTTTAGAAATCCTTCTCTTCCTGGAGGGAAACTGTCAAGCTCCCACTCTGGATCTGAATTAAAGAAAAGCAGAATTCAACTGGCAAAAATGTTATGCTAAACAAAACTAAAAAAATATTTTTTACAAGGAGACATCATACAAACCATGTGTGCTAAATATTAAACTGCTGAGGATGAAGGATCCTGCTGTTGCTATGTTTATAACATGGAGATAATTGAGTCTTGACAAAATCTAGCATTCTGTGTCACAAGAAAATTAATTTTATACCATCTAGTGGTAGGCTAAGATATAAAGGGTCTGCTGCCTTGTACCAGTGGAGAGACTGGTGGCACACCATGGTGATACTAGGAAGAGGAAGCTCTTCTGCATTTTCCAGATTTATATCTATACTGACCTACTACAGTTGGTTCCAAGTCCACCATTACAGCTCGTGGCACATGCTTCCCATTGACTGTTTCATTGAAAAATGTGGTAAAAGAGTCGTCACTGAGGTTATTTTGCATATCCTTGAAGGTGCCATCTGGCTGAATGCCATGCTCCAGGCAAAAGAGTTCCCAGCAAGCGTTTCCTATCTGAACTCCAGCCTGGCCAACATGAATGGAGATGCACTCACGCTAAGGGAAGAAAAGAGAGACAGGGTCAGAAAAGACACTGCACATTAGTCATCCTTATTCCTAATGGTTATTTTTTCCCAGTGTATTGCTTTTGCATAAAAATAGTGAATTGTCACTGTCAGCATTTGATTTGGCTGTTCAACCCCATGACTACAATGAGACTGTACATGTACACACCAGATACTGGGGCAGTTCTTTAAAAAATTGAGATCTATGTGCTGTAATATATGGGTACATGAAAACAGGCAGGGGAAAAAAGTAATTTCAGTTACACAAAACCCACCTTTCCTCCTGTGGATTGGCTCTGCTGAGGAGCACATCCCAGTTTAGTTTATTTTTACTCCTGGCTGGAACCTGACACAGCCATGTGGTATCCTTCAACCTTATGTAACCCAAGACAGGTGATGTCTTTTGATCCTTTTAACCCTCAGATAGCAAGCTAGAGGGGAAACTTGGAAGAACTGCTTTAAGCATTATTCACCTCAGGAAAATATTTCAGATTCTGTCGGTTGAAACAAATGTTCCTTCAAGCTCCTGAGCAGCTATGAATTTTCCATTGCAGGTCCACCAAGTTTTCAGGCAATGTCATTGCAATCTAGCATGTTTATTTGCATACTTTTGAGCGTAGTTCCTGTGGTAGCCAGGGACTTTAATGAAGAAAACAACATATGTAACACCAGGCTAAAATGGGCAAGTGAAAATTGCTCCAAAATCATAGAATGGTTAGGGTTGGAAAGGGACCGTAAAAATCATCGAGTTCCACCCCTTCCCTGCCATGGGCAGGAACACCCTCCACTAGACCAGGTTGCTCAAAGCTTCATCCAGCCCGGCCTTGAACACCTCCAGGGATGGGGCATCCACAGCTTCTCTGGGCAACCTGTTACAGTGCCTCACCACCCTCACAGTGAAAAATTTTTTCCTAAAATCTAAATGTGCTCTCTTTCAGCTTAAAGCTGTTACCCCTCACCCTATCGCTACACCCTCCCCGTCTCTCCTGTAGGCCCCATTCAGGTACTGGAAGGCTGCTATAAGGTCTCCCCAGATTTTTTTCTTCTCCAGCCTGAACAACCCCAACTCTCTCAGCCTGTCCTCATATGGGAGGTGCTCCAGACGTCTGTCCATCTTCGCGGCTCTCTTCTGAACTCACTTCAACAGATCCATGTCTTTTTTATGTTGGGGGTCCCAGAGCTGGATGCAGTACTCCACCCCACTGTGTGGGGTCGCACAAGAGTGGAGTAGAGAGGGAGAATCGCATCCCTCGACCTGCTGGTCACGCTTCTTTTGATGCAGCCCAGGAGTATGAAGGACCTTGTGCTGGATTTCTTAAGTTCAGAAACAGAATTATAAAGCAGATGCTTCTGAGTTAGTCCAGTGGATACAACACCAGGTATAAGGAAAGGCAGTTTTCTAAGGAGAGAGTTGTTTCAGAAACGTGGATTTTTTCAGCTTCAGTTTCTGCTTTGGAGCAATTGTAATTATAGTTGTCGTAGCTCTGTCATTGTGATCTCGATGGCCCTGTCTATACTAGGGAGTAAGAAAGAGTCATATCATAGTACTCAACACTGGCCTGTGATCGCTTGTGCTGACTGATAATTGCCATACTCTCTGGCACAGTTTTGGTTTATGCGAGTTCATACTTTTCCAGACAATGCTTGGGCACCATCCAGAACACAACTCATTGTCAAGAATGGTTTCAGTGAGCAGCCCACTGACCACTGCTGAGCTTTGGAGAGGGAAAGAAAATTCAGATGCCTAAATATGAAGCAGACCATGCTACCTGACTTCAACACCAGCAAATGGTCCTGGCTCATTTTTATTTTGTAATATCTCCTATAGAGAGATCCAATGAATAAATATCAGATTTGTCCAGTGAACTGTTTTTTGGGGGTTTTTTGATTTGTTTTTAATTCTGTAACTGCTTACCCTGCAAAATCATCCTGTGACCTGTGAATGAAATTGATCTTCCCCAAAAACTAAATCCTCAGGTAGAATGTGTGACCAGCAGCATCTCTGGAGCAGTGTTTTCTTAATGATTGACATATATTTATGTTTTAGATACACAACGGAAGATATTTTTTCAGAGCCAAGTGGAATTTTAGAAGTCACCACTGCCCCAGTTAGCCATCCTCAGAAGTTCAAATGAATATGGAAAGCCAATTTAAATATATAATTCAATTATATATATTATTTCTGTTCAATACTCATTTCTAAGTTGCTGAGTCTGCGAATGCATGTGCAGCAGTGCGTATAAAATGCTCTTAGGTGTACTTGCACAACCCTGTTTTTCTCAATTGTGTTGTGCAAAATATCTGAGTTATTTGAGTATGTTGCAGTGGAGTTGCAATCTGGAGGATTACTGAGGAGACACTGAAGGCATATTTGCGCTTAGAGAATTCAATTAATGCTGATTTTGCATAGGACAGGCTCCTGCTTTTCTTTTAAATCCCAGTGTGAATCAGTAAGCCTGGCAGCAAGAAAAAAAAAAACAAAAAAAACAAAAACAAAAACAGCTTTTTCCTTTTAAACACAGCAATGAGGACAAGTGACTTTTTAAAAGAGTATCTTTTAAAGCAAAACTGCAACTAAAGTCCAGCAACACTTGGAACCTAAAGAGCTACTTTGCTCTATTCCTCAGATCAGTAGAGGAATTGGTCTGTTTTTTCCACAAGTGGAAAAAGTAAATGTTGCCTTAGAAAGTTAATATTGTAAAGCTTAGTATAGGAGTGCAGCTGAAGACTGCAGAACCAGTTCTTTTCCTTTTAGGCTGAGCTTTCAGCAATGCTATTTTGAGGCACTGTCTCAACCCTGGCTTTTGAGCCTGGTCTCTTGACATGCTTCTGCCTTCAACTCCCATCTTCTCCTACCCCAGCAGTAGTTTGGAAATATTCTGACAAGGAAAGAAGACTAATTTTGCATAGTAAACAGCTTTAAAATAGACATCGCTCTTTTAGTAGGGAAGAGAGTGGGCCTTCTTCAGAGTCACAGTCAGAGTAAACTGATCTCTACATGATATTTAAATTTGGAGCCTACTCCAAACTCATGTTTCACATCCCACCAGTAGTGTACCAGGAGCTGTGTTACAAACTGTGGACCTGACTTTGTCCACAAAGCGACAGTAGAAAGGGGCAGGTCCTTTGTGAAACTAAACCTGGGACAGCTTTGACTCTATTAAAAAAAAAAAAAAAAGTATACTACCTGGCTTAAGTACTTACTGTACAAAGGCAGACTTTAGTCTTCCAGCTATTCCCAAAACATACTCACTACCCTAGGTCTACCTTAAGGCATGGGGGAGCCTATGGAAGCGTCTTGCCTGCGAAATGAGCAATCTCATTTTGGACCTGCAGCTGTACTGGCAGAAAATAACATAGTTCTCTGCACCAAAATAAGACTCAGTGCTAGACATAAATTGAGGTACAAAGTGAAATGGATTTTTCACATTCTAAGACGTTTTGGGAGATTTCTACAAATTTATAATAAACCCCAAAATCTTAACAATGAAGGGCCTTTTTTACTTACTTAAATGCATATACATATAAAAACTTTCATGCACTCCAGAAACACACATGTATACACTGTATAGCTGTGAGCAGTACAGCCATTAGGGCTAAATTAATTTAAAACAGACACAAAGGTAAGTAACTTTTTTCTTTTATTTCTAAAAAAAAAAATTAACTCATATGAAAATGAACCTGTGTTGAGAAAATATGGTCACAACAGAAAGTACTAAAAAGCTAAGAATCAAGATCTAATTTATCTTATAATTCCACTAATTAGAGACTCTCTGAAGAAAACTTTGTTTCACCATGCCTTACAGCTCCAGTGAGATTTTCTGACACTCCTTTCCCATCCTCTTACGTGGTAATCAGTGCGTGAGATCAGGGTTTTGTGGTGCAAACCAGCGATAATGGCAGATCCCCCTGCCTTCCCTCAGCCATGGTCCTCCCAGTCAGTCCCCGTATGACTGGTATTCCCACATCCCCCCTTACCATGGTGTCTCCAGGGGTGTTTCCTTCCCTTTCGGATCAGTGGTGGCAGGTCTTTGCAGGAGCCCAGCTCTGGGCTGCAGGGCAGGAGGCAGCCTGGGCCCAGCACCGGGCACCTGCTGCTGTGCTTCAGTGTCACAGCGTGGTGAGGAGGAGGTCACAGACTCTGCAGTTCTGCCTGCTACATCACTGCCTCCTGCCCTCTCCACCACCCCATGTATGCAAATTCATCCAGACAGGCAGGGCTCAGATGTACCCCACATTTCATATTTAGTCCCGCCTGGTTTGGCATGCTTATTAAATCTGAGCATGTCCATGTAACATGCTGTATATTATACTTTCTAACACCTGAGTATTATCCATATATATCACCTGCAAGACACATACCATCCCAATTCCCTGTTTTGCCATCACGTACATGTTTAGACAAAAATCACTCCTAAATTCCAATACAGAAGACCAAGAGGGGGTAAGGAAGCAAATGAATTAAAAAGAGAAGGATAGAAGAAAAACAAAAAAATAGAGAACTGGAAAGTAAATATAATTACCATTCTGAAGTGTGCTCTACCAGGGCTCTTAAATGCTGGCATGTCTTCTCTCTGTCCTTACTCCATCCGCCGCCCTATTAATGTTTCAGTTTACTTCTATTGCTTCTCCTTCTGTGTACAGTCATCTGGACTGTCAGCAGTGTGGGGCAGCATTCAGCACAAACTCTAACTCGTCTGCCCTAACACAGAAAGCAATTTGATTCTCATTGCACTGCTTATTGCAAGACATAACTGGAGGCATCCCAGAAACGTTCTCACATCAAATTAGGACAGTTGCCTCCACCATTCTATTGTTTGCTCCTTCTGCACTAGCTCAGCACTGGAAAGCAGCAGCTTCTCTCAGTGGAGAAATCGTTCTGTTTGCAACTCCTAGGTAACAAAGAGGAAGGCACACTTAATTGCTTGAATCTTGAGTATTATGTATCCCGACTTCAGAAACATACTGTTTATTATGATGTTTAATCAATAGAAATTTAAATACACAATTCCTAAATTTTAGGTTAGTCTACTTTGACTTGATTATATTAATAGATTGTTCTGCCACCACTGGCAACCAGCATCTGAGGATCTTCTCCTTAACTAACGCTTACATTTTACTAGTGTGCAGTAGTCCATACCATTTTTTATAAACTTGCATTTACTTTGGCATAGTTTTCATTTTGCTGATCTTTACATAAGCCTGAAAATCACTACTCTTTGATTTTGGCTAGGAAAAGCTACTAATATTTTATACAGAGGAAGAAATCCCATCATAGTTTCTGTCTGCTGCTTTGTTTAAGCTGAGTCCTACACTTCTCCAGAAAACCACCAGATCTTTGCTTTGAGGCTGAGGAATAGGTTGTTCCACTGTTCTTCTTCCAGTGGAACTGGTAAGATTCTGGCCAAGCTCCAGTGTTACAGACAATCTGAAATGTTAAAGATTATGGCTCCACCAGATGTGGAGCTCTGTGCAGAGAATCACCTCAGGAAAAAGTCTCACAGCAAATACTTTGAGCAGTCCACCAACCAAACCCTCTTAGGCACTCTTTGAGTCAACATGTAAGATCTAGCAGCTCCAAAACCTGAAAGAGCTCCGTGAATTACTAAATTATTTGCAACTTAGTCCATTGCTGCATGTTCTCTGCTCTTTCATTGCCCTCCTCCTCTCTTCTGAAACAGGCAGTGGGAGCATCTCTGGAAGTCAGTGTTAATCATTCCTCTCTCCACCCCACTCAAACTCAACTGTCCCAGGACCCACAGACTCACCAATGCTGGGCTGCCACACTGAAGAGTCTGGGTCATGCCTCACCAGTCAAAAACTTCCAGCGACCAGGGACTGATGGAGTCTTGAGCAGTGTCCCTGGCTGGTGGGAGTGTAATGGCTATGTCCCTTCTCTTTAAAATCAATAGAGCTTGAAGAGCCTAGGGATGACCCAGGTTACTGTTTTTACCTTTCTCACAGACACATAGCTAAGAAAAAGGCCTTTGCAGACCTGCTTTGCACCAAAGACCGTGCCTGACCTGCTCTGCCTTGAGATAGCCCATGAACTCAAGTGCTAGAAATACGTGCTGGCCTGGGGTGATAGACAGACACGGACATAAAAGCCCTGAGGAAGACTTGGGCATACTGTTTTTAATGAGGTTTCCTTATGTTGCTCTGTCCACCTGTGTTGTGGAGTACTTGGGCAGAAAACCTTCAGCCTAGATTTAGAGGGTAACCTGAAAGCACAGCATGGGACTCTGCTCCCAGGTACCCATGAGTTTTGTTGACTCCAGAGTTGACCTCTAGGCTCTACTCCGTAGAGACATGAGGCAGATATGGCTTGGGCTGGGATTCTTAGAAAGAAAATCGTCTTGCTCAATGCTGGCATTCAGCCTGTGTGGACAGATGGTGAGCTTGAAGGGGCAGTCACGCAACCTCTCCTGCCTGGAACAGGCTTGAGACATGCCCTGCATGGGGTGGGTTGATAACCCAGCGGCCGGGTCGAGGCCTGCCCACTTCAGCTTTTACCTTGCAACACTGGTCAATGATGATGAGCACTAAATAGGGCTGATTATAAAAAGCTCTGCCATGGAGACCTGAGGTGTGCAAATAAGTGAATTTGGCCCGAGTGCTTGAGTGGCTTTGCTGGTGCTGCCAGAACACTTGTGAATAGCCCACGCTCCTCGGTGTGATGCACAGCCTGCATGCAACTGGGGTGGCCTGGACATTCTCAGAGAGCTTCTCATGTGCAGATGGACTGGGTGCTGTGCTACAGGTGCCTTCCAGAGCAACACAACAGAGCAGAAGAGTTGTGAGTTATTATCTCCAATTGTTTGTGATACTATCAAAATCAGAGTCTTAAAAGGATTTAAAAAAACCCTTAACATGGCCATACAAAACCTAAACCCTTTTTCTCTGTTTAAAAATAGACACATCTCTGAAAATTGCATTTCTGAATAATCTAGAGCTTAGAAGTACTGTCTACCAGATCTCAGGACAAGAGAACCACTATGTCCTATGATCTATCAGTTCTGTTCTGACTAGAGGTCAAAATACATCAGCAGCCAAAGGAAGTACAGTTAACTTCTTTATCTCGTCTACCAGATGTCCATCACTCCCTACAGATTGGTTACCTAAGTGACTCACCAATAGTGGCAGAATTGTGGATTATTTTAGAACAGTAATGTGCTATCTGACAAAACAGTCCACTCCTAAGAAGTTCTTCAGTGATCATACTAAAACCTCTTTCACTTTTAATTTGGTGTGTGAAATTCTTCATATTTTCCACATATTATAATACCTTCTTATGTTAGGTGAGGATATAAATGCTTCCCTGTAGAACTAAATTCTGTCATTCTGTTGCCACCTACTGGGAGAATTGACAGCATCTCATTTCAGGTATTTCTGCAATCCCAAAGTCTAGTATTTCAGTATCCACATAAAACTGATATATTGATAAATGGCTTTCAGGCATTATCCTTGAAACAGAGAACTGTGCTATGTATTTTTAAAATTACTTTTAAATAGAGAAAAATTAAGTACATGTTGGGATACAGTTTCAAAAGAGTTATCTCTTTTTTTGTAAGAATTGTCATATTCAAAATTTCAAGATTTCAGATACAATAATGTTAAAAATTATAATATTACAATGGGACTTGCAGAATTATCTCCCCTAATATAGCAAGTTCAGAACTATAGTTTCTAATATAATGATCAGACATTCATTTTGCAGATAATAAGACCAACTACATCAGTCATGTTTCTGGTTGTGCCTGCTTTTCTTTATGACCTTTTAGCAAACCTAATACAAACAGATTTACCAGAGAGAAGACAATGCTCCTCAATAGTTTGGGTGAAACATAATGCGTTTCTGTAGCCCTGCTGGACTTGTATGCCATATGTTCCAGTGAGAATATGAGGGGGTTTTTTTAAATAAATTTATGAAAGATCAGTAGTAATCCAGCACTAAAATAACAAGTTGTATATATTTGGTCTCCAGGGTGTCTCCCCTTCATCAGTGTTAAGGGACACACATGGCAAGGTCAGCACAACAGGCTTATTGTCTTGCTGCAGGCATTGTTCAAGCCCAGGGCTGCTCAACAGGTACCCCCAAATAGACATCATTTTCTTTACTTTCTGTTACCTTTCTCTTGCTTCCTCCGCCTCCTAAACAGACACCTCTAAGGCACAGTGACTAATGATTAGCTGGTCATATATCCTGCATTTACTGCCTTGTGATCTCATAGTGGAGAACTCATCCTGTTTATAATCTACTAAGATGGCAATGGACTTAGTGTGTGTGAGACCAGCAGAAATGTAGCTGCATGAAAAAAAAGAGACAGAGACAATCTATCTTATGCACAGACAAGGCCAGAGTGAATTTTAAAATTCCTCCCCATCATTTTCTTCTTCAAATGAGTCAGTTCCCACTTCTTCATAGTCCTTCTCCAGGGCAGACAGGTCTTCTCGGGCCTCTGAGAATTCTCCCTCCTCCATGCCTTCACCCACATACCAGTGCACAAAAGCTCTCTTCGAGTACATCTGATCAAACTTGTGGTCAAGCCTCACCCAGGCATCTGCAATGGCCGTGGTGTTGCTCAGCATGCAGACTGCTCGCTCAGGCTGGGCTAGGTCTCCTCCTGGTGAAACAGTAGGAGGCTGATAGTTGATACCAACCTACAAATAACAACCAAAAAGATGGAGGAATAAAAAGAATTGTAAGAAAAAGGACAAAATTAGACAAACAGGATGAGAAAATTGCAAAACCATTGGTGGGGGGAGGAAAAGAGGTAGGGACAAACCCAGATCACATTAGTGTTAAGTCTCATGTCATTCAAGCTACCTTTTTGTGCACAAGTCAATTCCTTACCCCAACAAAACAAAACAAAAAAAAAAAAAAAAGAAAAAAAAAGGACACCAACCAGAACTGGACTCTAAATGAAGAAAAAACTTATAAAAATATGTCAGTATACATGGAAAAATTGGGGACAACCAAAAAACTCTCTTTGTGGAGATGCTGTAGAAATGTTTCACTTGCCATCAATATATTATT